CTCTCTCTCTCTCTCTCTCTCTCTCTCTCTCTCTCTCTCTCTCTCTCTCTCTCTCTCTCTCTCTCTCTCTCTCTCTCTCTCTCTCTTCCCCTGAAGATTGCTACGTGTATTATTCATGTGATGGCAGCGATGCAGAATTGCAGACATTTAATATTTTTATCAACATCCAATGTTCTGTTGAGCATTGATTGCCTTAAGAGAAAAAGAAAAAAAAAAGAAACAGACACACACACACACACACACACACACACACACACACACACACAGAGTCTGTAGGGAGCCGAGGGGAGGGGGGTGGAGAGGCAAGGGGGAGAGGCAGGGGGGAGGGAAAGATTAAGATGACTTACTATGTATATGTCCCATAGCCTGGTCAGTATCAGTGTGTTCCCGTGCAGGACAACAGGACAAAAACATTATCCACAAAATGTCAGCAATGTAAGAGAAACTTAGAAAGTTCATTAAACCATGCATGAAGCATACGCTATCACAAACCATAGCGATTTCCGCATAAGCCAATCCACATCATCCATAGGTAAGCCCATATGTATGGTGCATACAACACTAGGTAGATACATAGGTAGGCCAATCCAAAGGATGTCCCCAAAGGATCTGATGAAAAGGACGAGGACAAGGAGAAGAAAGCAACGGACAGAAGGACGGAAGGAAAGGAAGGAGGCCGAGGCCGAGGAGGAGGAGGAGGAGGAGGAGGAGGAGGACAAGGAGAGGTAGGGGAGAAAAGGGAAGGAGAGAGGAGGCGGTGGAGGAAGGAGAGGTAGGGGAGAAAGGGGAAGGACAGGAGGGAAGGGAGGAGTTGGTGGGATGGGCATAGCTTGTGCAGAAGGGACATGTTAGTAAAAGAGTAGGGAAACGGAATGAAAACCGAGGAAAGCCAAAACGAGGAGGTAGAGAAGGAAAAGCAGGAGGGAGAAGGACGGCAAAGATGAGGAGCGCTTGGGGTGCAGAGCACAGAACAGCGAAAGCAAAAGTGAAGGAACAGAGGAAGAAGGAGCCGAAGGACGGTGTGGGAGGGAAGAAGCAACGACGGGGGAATTGTGAACAGGGAAAAGGAAGGGGAGTAATAGCCGTAGTAGCAATGGTAGGAGCAGTAGTAGCAGTACGATTAGCAGGAAGAGTAGTAGTAGTAGTAGTAGTAGTAGTAGTAGTAGTAGCAGTAGCAGTAGTAGTAGTAGTAGTAGTAGTAGTAGTAGCAGTAGCAGTAGTATCAGTAGTAGTAGTAGTAGTAGTAGTAGTAGTAGCAGTAGTAGCAGTAGCCGTAGTAGTAGTAGTAGTAGCCGTAGTAGCAATGGTAGGAGCAGTAGTAGCAGTAGTAGCAGTGGGAGGAGGAGGAGCAGGAGGAGGAGGAGGAGGAGGAGGAGGAGGAGGAAAAGGAGGAGCAGGAGCAGTAGGAGCAGTAGGAGCAGTAGGAGGAGTAGGAGTAGCAGCAGTAGTAGCAGTAGTAGCAGTAGGATTAGCAGGAGGAGGAGGAGGAGGAGGAGGAGGAGGAGGAGGAGGAGGAGGAGGAGCAGGAGCAGGAGCAGGAGCAGGAGCAGGAGCAGGAGCAGGAGCAGCAGGAGGAGGAGGAGCAGCAGCAGGAGTAGGGGTAGTAGCAATCGTCGTAGTAGTAGGAGGAGGAGGAGCAGTAGCAGTAGCAGTAGGATTAGCAGCAGGAGGAGGAGGAGGAGGAGGAGAAGGAGGAGCAGGAGCAGGAGCAGGAGCAGCAGGANAGGGGTAGTAGCAATCGTCGTAGTAGTAGGAGGAGGAGGAGCAGTAGCAGTAGCAGTAGGATTAGCAGCAGGAGGAGGAGGAGGAGGAGGAGAAGGAGGAGCAGGAGCAGGAGCAGGAGCAGCAGGASGAGGAGGAGGAGGAGGAGGAGGAGGAGCAGCAGGAGTAGTAGGAGTAGGGGTAGTAGCAATAGTCGTAGTAGTAGTAGTAGGAGGAGCAGTAGCAGTAGCAGTAGCAGTAGCAGTAGCAGTAGTAGTAGTAGTAGTAGTAGCAGTAGTTGTAGTAGTAGTTGTAGTAGTAGTAGTAGTAGTAGTAGTAGTAGTAGTAGTAGTAGGTGAAGAAGAAGAAGCCACATACCTTGGAGATAGCAAGGGACAGAGCTGCAACCAAACCCTATGGCACCCCCAGGGAAGACTCTATCAGCAATAGCCTGCAAGCAAGCATTCACAACGGCAGGAAGATTGGTCAGGTGTTTGTTCGTGCACGCAGAATTGTTATTACTATGACTCTAAGAGAATAATTTTATGAAAATTAGTCATAATAAATTTCCATTGGTATAAAATCCCAGGAGGGAGACCAGGAAAGATCGACAAACTGTCGATGAGCTTTCACAGAGGAAAGAAGGATAAACTTTTTCTTTTTTCTTGAAGAAGAAACTGTCGATAAAGGCAATAAATAAGTGTCCTCATGCAAGAAAAGGTCCATGAGCATCGCAAAAACAAAAGGCAAAAAAAAAAAAAAAAAAAAAAAAAAAAAAAAAAAAAAAAAAAAAAAAAAAAAAAAAAACACTCAAGCACAGTTAATTAGTAATTACTAATTACTAATTACTAATTAGTAGTAATTACTAATTACAGTGATGGATCAACAGATTCAACACTGAACCATCAATCGATAACCGTCAATCAATGAATCGATTGACTGTAGTTGATGGATCACACTAGGACCTTTTCGACTCCCCTCTGGTCGTAATTGAGACCAGATACACAAATGGCGGGCCGTAATTGCAGTCCTATACATGTAGGTACAGAAAAGTCCTAACACTACCGTCTTCACCCAAATAGAACGCCCGGTCATTATAGCTGTATCTGGACTCGAAGTTGTACCAGATACGGCTATAATGACCGGGCGTTCTATTCGGGTGAAGACGGTAGGACCTTAGGGCATACTAACACTAGGACCTTTTTCGATTCAGCTCTGGACGTAATTAAGGTCAGATAGACCGCTGGCGGGCCGTAATTGCAGTCCGATACATCCAGAAATGTCCTAGTGTGATTACACCCCCGACTGATCGTGAATCAACAATTTAGCTGTGGGTTAACAATTGGTTCATCTGTGGTTCCTCTGTGGTTTGACTTTGACTCTGGAGGATCATCAACAAGTGTTGTTCTCCTGTGATTTAACTCTGTAGTTTTCGTTTGAAATTCGAAGTAAATAAAATTAGTAATATAGAATTCCAATAAGAAGGCGGAAATTTTCAACAAAAAGTTAAAAACCAAAAAAAAAAAAAAGGAAAGGAATCCATAAATGGAATTGCATTAAGAAGGATAAATTCTTCCCAAAAGAAAAAGAAAAAACTTAAAAAAAGGGAATTCGACGGGGATCATTGACAAGTGTTGTTTTCCTGTGATTTAACTCTGTCTCTTTGTTTGAAAATCAAAGTAAAATAAGCAACTGGAATTCCAATAAAAAATGGGATTTTTTCAATAAACAAATAAATAAACTAAAAATTTAAATTAAAGGAATTCATAAACACAAAGAAGAAGGTGGATTATCAGTTGAGACTAGAGTATATAACTGACTGGTCAGCAGCAACAGCCAGTTATTACCAAACATTCGCATAGGTAAAGATAAAGACTTTAAATTTCAAAATCCAAAGCCACCTCTTTTTTTCACAATTCTGGAAAGCTATACTATTCTGAAAAAGCTATATGCCGTAGCAATTGCTGGTCATATAGTATAGCTCTTTTTCTTCCTAATCCTCTCCAGTTAATTACCAAGCTAGGCTACCAGAGTGGCCCGGGTACACTTGCCCGGCCGGGCCAAAAAGAAGTATATATATATATACAGTCTGTAGAGTTTTCCATCTGGTGTGGGTGAGTGATAGTCTGATTTTGGTTAAGGTGGATTATCACTTACAGTGTAATCAGTGAGGGGATTCTACAGACTGTTGAGGATTCAGCCTCCTGATGAGTCGGTGAAACTCCGACGAAACAGTTTGTCACAG